GCACCAATTCTAATTTTAGTGGCACTAATTAGCACTAATTAAGCACTTATTTTCCACCGAAGGATTTTTCATTTTTCGAAAATTGTCGGGCTGGAGAGAATCGACCCGCACATTCATCTATGATGACATAAGAAAAATGAGTTGAATCGAAATCACGATCACAACGGGCTCGCATTAAATGGCCAGCAGTTAATAATGTGCATATAAGCACTCGGAATTGGTACAAGTAACTATAAGGGTGATATCGGATAGTATGTTTGAGAATGGGCAAATATAATTCATTAAAATCGATATAAATTTCTTAATACCTTAAACTTGGATAAATGAATTTTCCACCAGATTTCTCAGGGTAATAATTGCAGCATTGTTTGATGTTGTTGTCCAGTTTCGATGCACTATATGACTGTGCATACATTCGAAAAATTTCTCCCACTTTAAGTACACCGATAAGCCGTTTCGCTATTTCGTCGCAGGCATTGTTGGAATTAGCACAGACCAAAACAAATTTGTTGGATGAGCGCACAATTTCTTCTATTGTGGCTACCAAAGTGCCCGTTTTGCCAGTACCTTGAACAGAAATTTTTCTATAGATTACAAATTCGTACAAATCCCAACAAGCGCCTACACGCGCCTACAAGTCATAGACTAGATCTCAGAGGATATGTCGTCATCGCATACCTGCGGGACCGAATAATAAGTATGGAATTGAACCTTCTTTCATTTTTAAAATTGATGATACAGCAACCCGTTGTTCTTTGTTGAGGCCAGCCGATGTATTTCCACTAAATTTTTTAAAATATATTTTATCCGATTTTATCTAATATTTTATAAAAAACCAATATTGGTTTATCAATTATAATTGATATACCTGAATTTGTAGTCATTTGCCACTTGATTGAATTGAATACAATTCATATCATACTTTTTGTTTGCAATTAAATGAGAATGCAATTTGTTATGATGAAAATGTTCTAAAGCTGTGTGTTGAATTTCATATGTCAATGTATTGACTTTGAAGCATAGGTCGAAATTGTGATTACTGCAATATTTTTGAAGTTTCCCAATACATCCACCATATATATTCAGATAAATATAATCTTTGTCAGCATACTTTATGCGACCTGGTATTTCAATTTTGGGCCTGAATCCTGGAGAAGACTCCAATACAAACTTATCAACCTGAGATTCTTGAATTGCTTCATCCAAAAAAACCATGCTTTCCTATAAAAAAAATAATAATTTATTACTGTCTATTTTGGGAAATTTTGAATGGATGTTTAACTAGTTTTTGAATATAATTAAATTGCATAGTAAATTGCCGATTTTTTGACCGATTTACATGTTACTTGTTGTTACACAAAAAAAAACTTCTTACGACTTCTTACATCATTTTTAATTTTGAAAATATTTCCAATCCTATCGAAGATTACTTGCACCATCCGGCAATTGAATTCTTGTAAAGATAGTACTTCCGCCGCTTGTTCCATGTGTAATAAGCGACGATACCAGTGAAAATATTTTAAGCTATCTTCTCTAGTATCTACTTCACTTTCATTTTTGGCTGTTTTATTTTTACCTCTACCATTTTCAATTTTAAACATTTCTGGAGGGACTTCAAACCTGTTTATAGAAAAAATAAATACTTTTTTTCGCTTCTTTCATAGATTTTGGTCGATTTTGTTATGAAGTAATCATGTTTTGTTTCGGAGGCACCGGGAAGCACCCAAAAAAATTTTTAAGAGATATTGCGAGATATTGTATGAGAAGACTCCCCGTATTTTCGAAAAAAAAACATCACCGGGCCAAGCGGGGCCAAGCTCATTTGGATGGTTCATAATCGTTCATAATAGATCGTAATAGGTTCCTACTCGATAAAACTCGATAAAAAATAATGAAAAAAATTAAAACATTACCTTTTTAACGGTTGCAATTGCAATCGCCCAAAGCATCTCGTTTACGACTGATACGGAAACGATTGGCTTTTTGGGAATATTTGCAATCTGCTTAGCGCTAATCTTCGCGATCTTCGGGATTTTGCAATTTTTTGATATCATTGATCTAGCTTTCCGTAGCGGCTGAGTTGCTTTTCCTTTTTGCCGCGATGTCTGTTTTTCATACACTTTTTTGGATTCTAGAAGATTTCGGATCAATTGATCTGATGCTTTTGTGGTTGGGGACTTTTTGATAACAGGGAGCGCAGGGAGAATCTCATTGTGTGGTAACATTTTTTGACGCTTTCTTTCGGGACTACCTGACCGACCTGACAAATTCGCATCTGTGATATCACCGATCTGAGATGATGGTTTAACTGTTGCTGACATAAGAGAATTCGATGTCGATGAGATGAGCACGGTGCTCTGGTTATTTATTTGCTGTTGTTGCTTGTATGGTGGCTGATTGATAGCTCCACTCATTCGGAATTGTGATGTCATGTTTTGATACATGTCTGGCGCTGGTGTCGGTTGCAAATTTGGACCACTTTGCATATACGGGGCATTGTATGGTGCTGAAAGGAAGGCAATTTTTAAATTAAGTTAAAACAGTCAATTTGTGCAATTAAAAGTTCTGTTCAATGAAGAAAAAATCAAACCTTTGAATTTGTTTGGAAATAAATTCGTACCTGCATTTCCACCTCCATAATGAGCCGAAGCGATGTATCTCTCGTAATGACCGTATTGAGATGGCATCGGCGACGAATCGTACAGAACGGCTGGAGGTGATGGAATTGCTGACATACCGCCAAACTGTGACGGTTGGTAATATGGTTGAGGTGCCGTTTGAATGCCTTGTTGCATGGGTGGTGGCGATAGACTGAGACTCGATTGGTGCATTGGTGGTTGGTTTGGTTTCACTTTGCATACATTAGCCGTGGCTGATAATGGGTCAACGTTGTGTTTTAAGTCGGCATTTGGGTGTGAATTATTGTTACCGCCGACCATATGCTGTGGGCTTGGATTGTAACCCACATTGTCGATTTCGGCATCCTGTCCGCCGGATTTTGTAAAATGATCGAGTGTGCTTGGATCTGGTCCAAATGAACTGGAATACGATGATAAACCAGATTGGTGCAATTGTTGTTGTGAATGCGTAAACTGGTGTATGTGCTGTTGATGTTGGGTCGAAACAAATGTCGACGACAAATGAGAATCGTCATTATTTCCCGAATTGCTTAAATTGTTGCCATGCTCAATTACGGGTGGCATCGTTGGTACCGTTTCCCACACCTTTTTAACACTGGTAATTTTCTTGCTGAGATCGGCAATTGATGGTGAAATCGTGTTTTGACCACTGGCAAAGGAATGAATGGCTGTTGAATGTGATGGTGGTATGCACAAACCACCCTTTGAAGTTTTCTCACCTGAAAATTTCCGAAAATGATTAGTAAATTTTCGAATTGAAACGGCAGCTCGCGGCAGCTTTGAGACAAGAGCGGACAAGAGTTCTTCATTTCAGACAACTTACTTGATTGTGTATCGTTTAAAATTTCCGATCCGAATGTGAACGCTGAAGTAAGATCTTTCTCGTATTCGGCATCGGATTTGGGGAATGACGTGGTTTGTAGAGCCGACGATATCACATCGGTTTGTGATGGATGTGAGCGTTGCACTTGCGATTGCATCTAAACATGAAAATACAACAAAATTTAGAAATAACTCACACATTTTCATGGGAAGATGAATATAGAACACGATAGAACAGGAAATATTGTTATTTACCTGTTGTTGAGAGTCGAGCATATTTTGGAAGCTACCGCTCGATGCATTCTTGAACACGTCATCAGCTTTTTTGTCGAGATGAGGATGATGACCGCCCAAATTTTTTGACTGTACTTGATCGTATTGATTTACACCATTTAGTTGCGATTGTTGCGATGAATTTTGGATTTGTTGTTGATTTGATGAAGTTTGGCGTTTGATTGGGCCAGGCATCGTTTTGAAGTTCGTATTTTCGAAAATGATCGTGGACATTTCGGTCGTTGAATCAGCTTGATTGTCAAAGTCTTGGCTCAGCTTATCAATCGATTGGATACTGCTGCTGGAACGTTGAGTGATATCGGATTCATAAGCATCGCCCATGTGAGCTATGTCACTCTTGTTCCATGTATTTGATGAACATGAACCGGTGCGATCGCGTCGCTGTTTCACAAATCTTGGTGCCATTTTATTCGGTTGCTGTGCACGATTTGCTGGATTTCCACTACCCACAACACCTAATGGTGCGTTTACCTTTGAGCAGAAAAGAATTTTATTTAGTTAGTTTCAAGTCAAAGTGACAAGAGATACGTTTTTATTTTCGATTGCTTACCGGTTGTTGAGATAGACTGATGTTTGATGTTGGTTTTACGTTACCTCCCACTGGCTTGGCCGGAATAGATTGGCTCACCGGTTTAGATGTCGTTTGAGCATTGATCTGTGGCTTGCCGCGATTTACTGGCGCTGTATTGCCACGTGTGCTGTGCGCATAGTTTGAATCATCCTTTTTAGCGACAACAGTTTTGTCTGGTTTACTTCCAACGGCCGCTTGATTTCCACCACTATAAATACGATGAAAAATTATTATTGATGTGAAAGGTTTTAACATTAAAAATACGAAAACGGATTCATTTCTAAAGGTCAGTACGGGTCAGTACGGGTCAGTACGAAACGGTACAAAAAGCTTAAATTACATGGGCTGCTGTTTATCTCCTGAGAATGGTGGAGACTTTTCAGTGCGTTGAAGTTGTGGTGGTTGAGTCGGGATAGGGGCTGGTTTTGAAGCATCGTCCGATTTTACTATTGTTTGAGATTCAACTTTTTGACCAGTGGAATCCTTGCGTTGAGGAGCTTGTGATGAGCCGCCGAATGCTGGTTTTGCTGGCTGCGTCTTCTTATCGTCAGACTTCAACACTTTTCCGTCTAGAAAATTAAAACATATTTATTAGATGTAAAATTATATACAGAGAGATATATTTCAAATCTACTCAACGGCTAATTTCAAAAGTAATTGATTGATGTTGAGAAAAATGGCCTAAATAACCGTAAATAACATACCCGATGAGTCAGTTGTATGCGTAGCATTTTCATCAGCGGATTGAGACTCACTTTTCTTGCTTACTGGCTCTTCAGTTGTTGTTTCTGGTTTCAATTCAGCTTTTTCGTCAGTTGGTCCAAATGGACTTTTTGCATTTAGTGGCCCATAATTGTACGTATCCTTTGAATGTCCACTTCCATAGCAACGACCAATTTTGGCTGTAACACCTGATTTGTCGTCCAATTTCTTTTCAGTGCTGGTGCCGCCGCTTGGCTCATTTCCCAACACACTTTCCAATGGTATTTTGTTGGTTTCACTTGTCTTTGCCGTTACACTTGACGAATCGCTCAAAACTTCGATCGATTTACGTGCAATTTCTGGTGTATTTGGAACACTATCGCTCCATGAATTCGGTGCTTCGATCATACTTGGCCAAGTGATAAATTGTTTGGTGACATCTTCTTGTGATTGATTCAATGATATAATGGATGTATTGCCGGTCGAATGCGTTGACAATTCGCGTTCTTCGGATTTTTCTTTGTCCGAACGGCTATCGATTGAAACCTTACGCACACGCTGTAAAATCTGTTTCGGTTGAATGTCATTTTTGGCCGATGTACTTGATGTGCTCGAAATTTGTCGCTGTGGTTGTTTAAAGTCGATTTCCATTTCATCAGCCCATGATCCAATCTTGTCTTTAAATTCTGGTTGCGATGAATCGGATGTGCTGCGAGCCAAATGCGCCGTTCGTTCACCAACTGAGCTATGGCTAATCGATTCACGACCACTGCTAACACGATCATCATCTTCCGATTCGCATTGTCCAGACGAACTCTTCGAATGGGTTGAGTATGCTCCGCTGGCATTGCCCTCTGAATATGCCGGTTTGTCTCTGATATCGTCAACATTACGTTTCATACCGTGCGGTGCTTGCATCGACTGATTTGTTCGCGCGGACCTGGTCGATGTGGCCCCGATGATTCACCACATTTGTATGGATATCGGTCTTGTTGATCGCACTGTTTCTGGAAGCGTGGTGGCAAATTCGATTGGTATGATTTGTTGAAGAATGCATCACCGCTGGCAATGGGTGCGCCTCGATCCCGTGATCGGTCGCCAATGTCACGATCGAATTTCGGTTCATAACGATTTCCATACTCGCGCGGTTCCTTGCCATTTTTACTTTTACCATCATCTGAACGATATATGTCATTTGTTCGTCTTTCATTCGCTTCACCCTTGCCATATGCTGGCGCAGACGATGAAGCATTCGATTCGTTTTCATTTTCACCGGACAATTCTTTATTTTTGTTAATTTTCTGTTCCAATTCTTGAAGTTTTTTAGCCGCAGCTAATCGTCGTTCATTTGCTTGTCGCTCTTCTTCTTCTTTGCGTTGTTTAACGCGTTCCAATAGTTCAGCATCGAAGTCAATTCGGGAAACAGATTCATTCATGGATGCTTCCTTAACGCCAGTGTTGTCGAGCAAATCATCTTTGTCATCACTACTGAATGACTTTGAATTTGAATCATCGTCGCTGCCATCAAGTAATTCGAGTAATTTGGCGTAATCGACTTTCTGCAAAATTGAATGAGCAATGCATTAAAATCAAATGATCATCATGCGTCATCATGGGTTGAATTCGATCGAATTCGATAACTGTCTATAACATTCAAGCACTAATGTCTCGCAAAAATGTCAGTCAAATCAAAATATACCTTGGTCGCAGCGCGACGGCCAGATCCTTCACATTTTGGTGGTGATGTGAAACTATCGTCGTTGAAGTTATCCTCATCGAATGAGTCCTTGCTATCGCTGCCCTTCTTCTGCAAAACCGAACAGTTAATATCGGTTAATATGATATGATTTTCGATGATTTTATTCATCACGATTCATCAAGAGTGACTTCAAAGAGAAACAAACCTTCTTGCCGAAGCTGACTTTTGATTGTAACTTCGGTGCCACGGGTACCATGACAACTGGCTGAATTGTTAACTTTGATGTCACCCATTGAGCACATTTTTGGTTATTTTGTCCACTATATTGAGCGGGAACTTCATATTGCCGCGCTTTTGTGCGAATACCTGCGCGTAAACTTTTTAAATGATTTTCTTTGTGTTTTTTGATTTCGTGCAACTCTATGCACCGATACGCGCACATTAGTCCTGGAGGACATTTCACATTGCAACTAAAACGTAGCTTTTTCATTATTTCCAAACGCTCTTCTTTTGCGTCATTTGTCAACTGAACTTTTCGTTTTTTTTTATTTGTTTTGGAATTCATTTTTCACTAATTATGACTGAACTAATAACTAATTCCGACTTATTCTACAGCGGTCTACCGCTGTCTACAGCTATTTATTTCGATTTATTTCGATTTATTTTGCAAATTATTTGTACTGTTTTGTTTTTAGCGGTCTTAAGATGTGTTTTGTAGTGTGTTTTTCCCGGTTTTTCCGTATTTTACTTCAAAAACACGTGTGAACAAATGTCCGCAAATGTCATCGAATGTCATATTGTACCGTATTGTACGATATTGTAGGAGATTGTAGCGGATTGTAGGTTGGACTAATTAAATACTCGCTTAAATATGTATTGGAGCGCATATTTACGCGTATTTAAGCGTATTTAAGCGTATTTAAGACAAGTTTTTGAATATGACGGTCGATGACGGTATCGGACGGCATATGATCGAACTTGATATTTCTTTTCGTTTTTTCCGGTTTTTTCTTCACTATATTCTTCGATATTCTTCATATCGGTTCATATAGAAAAATATTAAGGAATAAAACGACGTAAAACGAATTACACGGAATTACATACGCGTACATACGTAATCCAAAAATGATTTTTTCGAGTACTTCCCATCGCTTCCCATCGCTTCGCATACAAAAGTCTCAATCGCATTAGTTTCTTTTTTTATTTATTCAAAATTCAATGGTACGTCAAATATTAAATATATATTAATCGAACAAGACCAGATTGGATCAGGTGATTTCGGGTGATTTATTACGATTTATTGTGCGTCTTTGTGCGTCGCCCGGCGTCGTCTGCAGCTCGCTGAGCGCTAGACAGATGGGTATACCTCCAATAAATCGCCTTCTTTCATTTGCAGACCGTTCGGTGTTTGGTTTCCGTCGACCCATTCTCCGCTGTACGAAAAGCGAAAGCGAACCTCTCCCAATGAATGACCCTAAGCGCGTAACAGAGAAAAACCGATAAAAACGCATAAAAATCAAGATAAAAATAGAATGTAATGCAGTGCTGCACCGGACAGCACTGTTGTAATGCGTTTTAATGAAATGTTTTGAGCTATTCTGACCTAATTTTGTCGAATTTTGTAGGACTTACTGCATATTTGCAATAGCTTTCCATAAGCTTCGCCAAACAAGCGCCTTTGTTCATCTTGAATTGGATGACGCGATTGTCGAGACCACGCACGTTCAAAATAATTTTGTCTTCCATGTCGACCGAGATTATTCGGGTTTGTTTAAAACCGTTTAAAAAACACAAAATCCGACGAAATCGTTTATTTCTTAGTACGTCTTTGTATTGCTTACCGTCGCTTACGATCGCTTAGTATATTTCGGTATATCAATCGATATCAATAGTTCCGAATAGTTCATCAATTCAAAATCGTTCAAAATGGTTTGACAGAAGACAATATCGGACAATATATCGCTATATATAGTCGTATATAGTATTGACCGGTATTGACCGGTGTTGAGTTGAGTCGACTTGAGTCGACTTGAGTATTGAGCGGTATTGAGTACCTAAGCATTAAAGTATGCAATGTAATTCGTATTTCGCCCGATTTCACAATATATGGAACTGTATTTCGCTGTATGGAACTAGACATGGAAATTCAAACTAAAAATACATAATTTTGTCGAATTTTGTTCCGTTTTGTTCACCAAATTTGCAATCGTTATAGACGGTTATAGATTCAGTAAAATTTGGTAAAATTTTATTTCGTTTGATTGAATGAAAGGGGTTTAGAACGGGGAGAAGAAACAAGGAGTTTAGCTCCGATTAGCTCTAGATAGAGTAACTTTATTTATTTATTTTCATTTAATTTCGTTTAATTTATTTATCAACACCGCCCAAAACGGCCCAAAATACTGGCTGAATAATCTAACAGCTGCATCGAGCTGCATTACATTATAAGTTGCGTAAATATAGTTCTCGACTATGCAAAAGTCTGCAAAAGTCACCTTAAATCATGAGCTAATGATCAAACAAGAGAATGCTTAATAGAAGCCGATTGTCAACGGCGGTCAACGGCGGTCAACGGTCTAAGATAATCTAACTACACGTGTAAAAAGATAGACTAACTGGAGCGTTGAACATTATAGTGTCGACCTCAATGACTGCAAAAGTCGTCGTACAATTTATCAAATATGTGGTAAATTGAAGAGAAGTTTTACGTCTAATCTAATAAAGTTCCTGTTGGTTGATCTGAATGAAAAATAGATCTAGCGAGCTATTAATATCGATTAATATACTTTCGTATACTTTAGTCCAGACTATATAGTACGATATAGTATTAATAAAATCAGTCTTATTTATGCGAATTTATGATGAACTGTGATGAATATAACAAAAATAAGTCAAGTGCTTGTAAAATTTGAGACTTAGTTTGAAATCTAGTTTGAAGCACATTCGAATGTTTGTTTGTTGTTTTCTTTTCTTAATACGAATACCGACGAATACACGCGAATACATTTCTCGTTCCGTCTCATTCATTTCTGAATATATTTTCTTATTGTTTCTTATATACTTTAGCCTATTCCTGAGTCAATTCCGGTCTATTCCGGTCTATTCACTCAGCTTTTTACAATAAACCTAGCAATAAGCCCACGGATAAGTCGGGATAATTAGACGTAAATAGATAGATATAACGAGATCGAACGAGATGTACAAAACCAAACTTAATTAATTTGCAATATGAATATTTAGGAAAATGTTGCCGAATGTTTTAACTATTGCCGGTTGGATTCGATTGGATTGTTGATTCGTGTTGATCGGTTAGGTATTGATTGGCTCGTATTGGCTTAGCGATTAGCGGCCGTTAGCGGCGATTGGCTCGCCGCGAGTTTCTATTTCTCCTTGAAAATCGCATCAGTAATTGGTTATTTTTAATCTCGATATTGAGACGTGTCTGACCTTGGATATTTTCCCAAGGGAAAGGGACAACTACGACATGCTCCTCGTTTGCTCCGACTGATGTTGAGATCGGTAAACTGTTCCCAGATACCGCAGCTACGTTTCGTGAATGCGTTGGAATGGCGTTTTCTGCGTTTTCCTGCAGCCAATTTTGCAAAATTTCAATTGCATTTGATACAGCCGTCATACTGTGATTTCGGCTGGCACCCAAATCAACAAACAACCGAATTGTTTGCGCAATGGGTGTCCGGCATGTGGGGCATAATTCATTCCTGTAATAAAAGAACGTAAGAGACGGTAAGAGCGGGTAAGAGAAAATCAACTATATTGCAAAAAGCCAAGTCGAGCCAAGTTACAACAAAACCAAGCAACGCCAAGCAAAGGCGAGCGAAGGCGAGCAAAGGTAAAATCGAGTAAAATTCACTTTCGACCGTTCCACACAATTGGTGGCTAGATCGGGCTAGATTGGCGGTGGCGATGCCATATAATACCGAGCCATACAATACGATACAATAAGGTAATGTCGGGTCAGTTGGGACCGGTTGGGACAGTGACATATCTCCGTAATTTGAGAGTGGAAGTTAAACGAAGTTAAATATCATTTTTGTTGTGTTCATGGCACGCCAAACGACGCCAAAATTTTGTTGGGGTTGCATGCACCGGCATGCACTTGGTACGTGCGGGTACGTGTTCAAAAAGTTAGACTCAAGGCGTTAAAATCGGTTAAAATTAACTCATAACCGAAAAGGAGTTA